ACCATGGGTAGTTGGCCGAGTTTATAGGACCAGACATGAATTCCTTCCTATTTTTTTGACTGTAAGTCCAATTAGACAGCTGTTTGTTAGACCCAAATGTAAGTTCACTATTATACCACTGGGCATATCTTGTCATGGTAGTCATTGTTGTAGTTCATAGGTTTTACAGCTGGGTGGTACTGTTGATTGCTTTTTTCTGTTGGCAGTTTGCATAATACCTTTAGAAACTGTGAGAATAAGCCCTCCTGAAGGAGGTTTTTAGATGAGCTTCAGCTCTATTCTTACAAGACCTTTGTTTAAAGTGTGTGATTGCTTCCATAGTAGAGACTTACCTTTAAGTTCTTGGAGGCAACCAAGGACAAGATTAGTAGCCAAATTGTTTTGTGATACTCTTGGAGTTTGTTCAACAACTGGAAGAGAAGTTTCCAATCTTGACATTGTGATTTTTGTGAGATAGTTTTATGTGTGTCATAGAAGTAACTGAATCTCGTGGGTCTTAGTTTAAAGTTGGCACTTCGTTTTTTATTTATTTATTTTATATAACCAAGTCCATTTAAATGAAACAAACAATTATAGACAATATTTGGGAATTTGGGCATCGTTCTTTCCAGGCTACTTCCTGCTGGTAAAGGGTGCTGTCATGGGGGATTCTAAGAAGATGCAGAAATCCTGGCTGTAGTCTGTAAGGCTGCTTTGTCCATCTGTTTTGAAGGTAGGATCACCTGGTACTCTGTTTCAGGCAGTCTGGCTTGATCAAACCACATTCGTCTGGAAGGATTCCACAGATTTTCATTTTCTGTGGAAACAAAAATAGAAATCCTTTTCCCCAGTATAAAGTTGGCACTTTGTAAAACAAAAACAAAACAAAACAAACCAATATACTTGATTTGTCTTTTCTTTCAGTTTATTATCTACTCAATGATAAGTGTATTTTGGATAGTGAACTTATTTTATAGGATTAATGCATTCTATTTATTGTCTCTATTGTTGAGGATACTGCTCTTTATTTTTCTTTTCATGAACGTGGTAATGGGAATATATTAAAGAAGTAAGCAAGCAAACAAGTACATAAGGCTCTGCTACCTGTATGTGTTAATACTATAGAGTGTACATGATCAAAGTCCATACCATGAAGGAATGTCCAGAAGCTTTTGAATATCCAGCAGATGGATGGGACTTTCTTTTGTGTTAAATACCATTTAAAACTCATGTTCTCGTTATGCCCTTCTGCTGTCCTTTTTGTCTTTTAGATATATTCAATGGATTTCATATTTACCAAGATATTGATACAAAAACTGTCTAGTTTTCTTAGTAGTCCAAGAGCAACCCCAAAGTTATCTAGACCATATTTATATAAGGAATTTGGTATTTGATTACTGATATATATCAACATGAAAGAATGGAAGATTTGAACTTAAATGGGTTATTACAAAAGCAGCACAAACATGGTATAAAATTTAAATACGTTACTTTTAATTTATCTACTCAACCAACTGATATTCATTTATCATCTAGTACTTATTCACCACTTTGATTCATGTAATAGAATGTGGATGTATGAAAATGGATCATTTCACCTAATTAGTTTATGCTTACTAAATAAAGATATTATGTGATCAATGAAAACAACAAACGCAAAGTCCTATTGTTTGATTAGGCTTAGTGTGTCTACAGAATGATAAAAATTCCACTGTGCATGCATCTTGATGAAAATATTATAATTGGCTGGATCATATATGGCCTTGCAGGAAGCCAAGAACCTTAGGATTTAGGAAAACACTTCATATTGAATTGTTACAAACATGTTCATAAAAAAAAATTACAGTGACTAAACTAGTAATTACTATCTTTTCATGAGATTTAAAATATAACTTTAGCTCCATGACACTAAAAAATAGAGTCTAACATCTGACAATTTATTTCTTTCAAATAATGTTTAGATTAATTATTTTTATCTTACGTGTATGAGTGGTATACTTGAATGCATATATGTGTACCACATACATGTCGGGTACCTGTGGAGGCGAGAAGAGGAGGTAGGCTCCTCAGTAACTTAAGATGCAGATGGTTTTGAGCCACCATGTAGGTACTGAGAACCAAACTCTGGTCCTCTGTAAGAGCAGCAAGTGGTCTTAATTGAGACATCTCCCAAGCCCCAATCATTTGTCTCTTTTGAACCACAGTAGGTCTAACTTATGTTGTTGGAGTTTTGGAAACCCACATTAGAAACAATGGAAAGCAGCATTATCCAAATGAGTTGACAAATTTAGATGGTGATGACCCCTCCTGGATGACATCACCCTACATATGGAGTGGGGGGGAATGAAAGGGGAGGGTGGTTGGGAGGCATGGAAGGGTGGGAGAGAGGAAGGGAGGGAGGGCGGGAGGAAGGGAGGGAGAGGAAACTAGGATCAATATGTAAAATAAGAAAAATAAATAAAAAATATAAAACATAAAAAAAGAATATGTGGTGATGTATCTGACCATCAGAGTGGCTGATTGACTTTAGTAATATTCTCCAATGACATTTGCACAGTCCCAGTTTATGAGTGTTTTGATTATAATTATCTTTACTGATTATGAATCCTTTTGATGACATTTATTTGTAAACCTAATGTGCCCAGTCATCTGCTTTTCTGTGTTTTGTTTGTTTGGGATACTGTAAAATTTCAGAGAATGACCACTAAATAGTATGTGTAGCACCAACCTTTTGAGGCACTCTTCCAATGAGTGGTTGGTATGCTAATTCCATTTGACACAGGACTTTACAACTTCTTTGCTTTGTAGAGCTACCCTTGACACTTTGTGTTTCTACCAGTGAGTCAATGTTAATTTAGAAGTAGTCCTGAAATATCCTCCAGAAAGAAAGATTAAGCACTCTTATTGAGATTTAAAGTTGGTCTTTTCAGTTCATCGAGATACTTCTGTTCTCTTTTCTCATACATTATACTTTCCCTTTGTGTGACTGACATTTTATGGTCTGGGTAGTGAAACAGCAGGTATACAAAGAAAGAAAGACTTTTTTTTATTTGTTTGAAATGAACCAAATTCATCAAATTTATTTTTTATTTTTGTGTTTCTGTTTTCACGTGTGTATGTTGTGTGCATGTGGTCCATACATATTTTTGCATGTGTATGTTTATTTATGTGGGTGTGCATGAAACACATATATGTGGAGATATGATATTGATCTCAGGACTTACACTTGCTCACTTATCTACCTTATTCAGTGAAGTGGGGTCTTTCAATCCACCCCCAAACTTACCCACTTGGCTAGTGTTTCTAGCCATCTCATTCTAATCTACATTTTCTGAGGCTGGAATTTCAGACCATGCTAACTCAGCATGTATGTACTTACATGGATTCTGATAATCCAAATTGTGATATTTGTGATTGTGTTGCAAAGATGTTAACTACTGAGCAATCTCACCAGCTCCAAACACGTTTGTTGAACTCACATTATTGTAAATCAATTATGTAGTACTTATACTCAACTTTTAATACAGTAAAATTTTCATCCCTAGATGTCCTCACATTATAACTCCATCAATTTACATGATTTCTAAAGTGGCTAGGTGACAAATTTCAGTGTTTAAGTTCCCTTAGAGTGATAGTGTTGGTGGGAAGAATTAATTCCATTTAGCCTCAATAGAATAGCATGATTTATTTTTGTTTATTTAAAATAATATTTTCATGATTCATAGTATAGCGTATTTTATTTTTATTTTAAGTTATTCTAAATACACTTTAAATTAAAATGTAATTATATCACTTCCCCCTTTTCTTTTGCTCCCTCTATCCCCTCCCATGTCTCTTCCATATAATCTTTCCATTTCCTTCCTCATTCTCAAAGTGATAATTTCTTCTCCTTTGATTATTATTATTGCATCAATATATGTGCACAAATATACAAATACAGCCTGCCAGATTTCCTTTTGTTGTTTGTGTGGATATGGCTTCAGGGCTGAACACTTCTGTATTGGATATCCAATTAGGGCCTCACTCCTAGGAGAAGCTATTTATCCCTTTTTTAGTAGTCATTAGTTGACTATAGAGCTCTGTCAAGGGGTGGGGCATTCAACCACTATTACATTTCAAGAAGCACTTTAAACACTTACATTTGCTTTTAGAATGAATTTCTTATGATAGGAAGGCTTACTATGTGAGCAGCACCAACTCGTAGAATGAGGTCCTATACTGAATCATGTTCAGGGGTGATTCTAGATCATATCAAATTGACAATTATCATCAACCATTAAAACAAGTGAGCAGGCTGGCTCCCATTCTCCAGAGACCTCCGAATGTAGGAGTCTGCGTTGTTACTTAAGATAACTGTGATCACCACTGATTGAATTCAGCCCTATTCTTGAGCAATATAAAAATTTATTTAGTAATTATTAATGATTATCTCAAACTCAACAAGAAATATATATTTCTGTTAACTTAGTGATTCTACCTTTGAGGCAGAAGGTGCTTATAATCTTATTTATGATAATAAAAATGGAAGCAAAATAAATGCTGTATAGGTAAACAGGTATCCTTTGCATATTGTCCTTGGTTTCTATAGGTATCTTAGAGAAGGAAATTTTGGGGGCAGAAAACAATGTTAAGTTAAACAATCACTGGGAGAACTATCAAAAGGTAGCTGAAGAGTAGAAATGGCTATGACCACAGTTCTGGCAACATTTCCTCAGCTTTCCTTTTCACAGAAGTAGTATCGATTGCTTGGAGAGAAGTCTGATGATGTTACAGATTCATAGACTTCTATGTCTTACTCTCATATCTTTGTAGCTATTTCATAATCAGGAATGTTCTCATCACCATTTCTGCTGCACACCATTCTGTTGGTTGAAGAAGAAAATTGCTATGTACTAGTTTGCTGTCATTTCTCATTTTTAGGCAGTACTCTAAATGGAAAAGTCAATGCGGTTGAACTATATAGAGTACAAAAAGTTGTAAACAGCCGATAAAGGCAATTTCTTATTTCTCTATTCCTACAGAAACTCCACCTACTGTATGAAGGTGTCAATGTCCTTGACTGTTGCGGAGAATGAATCAGGCCTCTGCTACAATAGCAGGATCCGCTACTTAGAGAAATCTGAAGTTACTAAACGAAAGGAAATCTCCTGCCCAGACATGGACGACTTTAAGAAGTCTGATCAGGAACCTGATGTAGTATGGTACAAGGTAACTCAGCATTGTGTCAAACTTTTTTTAAAGGTTAATTAATAGCAGCCTTGGTGATGCACACTTTATTTGCAGTTCTTGGTATTAATCAGTTTGCTGAGAAGAATTAACAGATTTATAACAAAATAACTTTGTGTGACGCCCGTATGTCACTGATTTTTGTGGATGTTCAACAGCAGATGTCAAAAGTTATCCCAGTGTCCCTAATTGCTAAACACAAAAATTTCCACCCCAGCAAAGAAAGGAAAAGATTTAATTAAAACAAAAATCAAATAAGTTTATCAATAGAGAGACATCATGTACCATGATGAAGAAAGACACATCACTATCAATAGTACACCTATAGAGGGTAAGCACTGTTGCCATGATGCACAGTTTGAGCTATCACAGTGGAGGCAGAAGTGAGAACTGGGGTTTGTGCTGTTCCTGTGATCACTATTAGGATTAAGATTAGTTTGGCATATGCTATGTTCAGAGGTTTAATGGAAGAACATTTGATTAAGAGTATGTTTACTGAGGTAGTCAATATCAAGGAAACTAACAAGAGAGGAAGCTTTTCTAAAAAATTTTTTATTCATTTTGCATACCAACCAGTTTTCCCTCTTCCCCCTCCTCTGGTTCCCCTTCCCTCTACCCCAAAGTCTTCCACACCTCAAAAGGGTAGGGCCTCCCATGGGGAGTTAACAAAGCCTGGCACATCAAATTGAGGCAGGACCAAGCCCCTCCCCCATGCATTAAGATTGAGCAAGGCAACCTAGAGAAGCAGTCACTGGAGCCCAGCAAGAATAAAGGCACTCTTTCAAGAGTAATAGCTATAAAGGAACAAATGAAGGTAATGGACAATAAAAGAGAGGATAGAATAAGTAACTAGAATAAGCGGGTAGGCTCCTATTCCCATTAGAACACAGGACAAAAGCAATAGGTAGTCCCATTAGAACACAGAACAAAAGCAATAGGTAGAATCAGGCCTTTGGGAGCATTGGGCCTAGACTATAGCACAAATGGCAGGCATAGTAGGGAAACAGGAAATAATTATACAACTTTCAGCTATGAAATTCTTGCTATAAGCCTGGATGATCCTTATAGCCCTGAAACATTTCTTTCTTCCTTCCTTTCTTTTTCCTTCCTTCCTACCTCCCTCCCTTCCTTCTTTATTCTTTTCCTCATTCCTTCCTTCTCTTTTAATTTTTCTTTCATTTTTTTCTCTTTCTTTCTTTTTCTTTTCTTTTTTTGGGTTTTTGGGTTTTGGTTTTTAGAGACAGTGATTCTCTGTATAGCCTTGGCTGTCCTGAAAATAGCTCTGTAGACTAGGCTGACCTCAAACTCATAGATTCTGTCTGCCTTCCAAATGTTGGGATAAAGCTGTATATCACCACCACCTAGCTCTAAACATTTCCTTAACCATAGCAGTTGCCACTTTATACAGATTTCTATATGATAGCCCCAGACAATCAAGTACATCTTTCACAGGTGATGTGCACATCATTGGACCCAAGTACATAAGAGTTGAATTTGGTTGTTTCTATTGGATTGTGTGCCCATAGACTTCCTATAGTTTCCTCTATCTGAACATTTAAAGCTCCTAGAACATTTTACAATTGTAAACATGTTCATTTTCACACCTGGAGGTACTCACCAACCAATACCAAGAGCTTGTACTCAACTATGACTTCCACTCTCTTTTCTTAGCAAAGATAATATTATTACAAATAACATTTATTCCTTCAAGCAGACTATAAATGATAAAGGAACATTTTATGCTATCATCAACCTTATTCAGATATCGTAAGTAATTATTATATGCCATTCCCTTTAATAAGTTGTTCTCTGCATTATCTCCTCTAAATCTCAGTACACATATGTATAGTGAGTCCTTTATGTAATAAGCAGGAAAACAGAGGCTTAGAGAAATGTACCACTTCTAAACTTGCAGAGATCTGTGTTCAAGGCACTATGACTTGAAAGACCATTTTCTACAATGATTCAGTCTTCACCACAGACACATCTGTAAGAAGCATGGTTGGTGCAGGCCAGCCATGTGACCCCCAAAGGAAAAAAGGAGTTCACTTCAATTTTATAGGAGGGAAAAAGGAGTTGACCTAGTTCACAGTTAACAGCTGGAGGTAAAATCCAGGTCAGCAGACTCTTTGTATAGTTTTTCGCTCTGTCTCACTTTCTTTTATCCTGCTAACTTCCTTCTTTCCCTTTCCTTGTGTCTTTCTACATTACTAACCAATTACTCCTTGGGAAGTGCTACCCCTCACTCCCCTCTCAAAATGGACCAATAAATCAAGAACAAATGGATTTTTAATCTCTGCCTGAATAGTAATGTCTAAAATTTAGTTTACTAAATTCACATTTGTTTCCCTTGATAGAAAAGCATAAAAATGTGCATATCAGTTGAGTATGCTTGTGTATGTATGTTTTACAATATTTATATTAGATAAAAGCATTCTGTCTCCTTAGATGCTTATCATTTGTTTATGGGGAGAACATTCAATATCCTCTCTTTTAATTATTTTTAAGTGTTCAATGTCTTGGTAATTATAGACTATTAACTGTAAAATAATAGTACATGACAAGTTATTGATCTCATATCAATGGAAATTTATGCAGTTAACCAGAATTCTCCACTTTCCTCTTCCTCTACAATGTGAGCTCTGCTCTCAACTTTTTGAGACGAACTCTTTTTTCCTTTTTTTTTTTTTTGCACTGTACATATGAGTGAGATCATTTGGTACATGCCTTTCTGTGCCTTATTTACTTCTGTTAATATAGTAAACTTTAGTTTTAGCCATGTAGTCACAATGACAGGATTTCCAAGCCTTTCATGGTTCACATTACATTATATGTATATAACACATTGTCTTCATTCTTTAGTTGGTGGATACTAGTATTCCTGTCCCCACACTTTGTCCTTTTCCTTTGTTACACTAAATGCTTGTTCTACAGTTTAGCTCAATCCTACACTTTTAGAAAGTCTGTCTGATGCTACATGAATGAAGGCTAGATGCTTGGATAGAAGATTGAAAAGCTTCATTTTTTAACATTTTATAAATGAGAGGAAGAATATCTTCTTTATTGACTAAAGATAACATTTAATACATGCTCATTCACTGAGAACAGTTTTCATAAAAGTATAAATCCATTTTATTTGATCTTTTAATTTCAATTTCATTGGAATATATTAATTATACATGATTGGTTCCCTTATAACATTAGCACACATGTATAGAATATATATATATATATATATATATATATATATATATATTGCTATTTCCCTTCATTCTCTTTTGCCCTCTTTTCTCATTGTTTTGTTTCCCCAGAAAGTCCTACATTCCATTTATCCAATTTCTAAATGATAGAGTCCTCTAACTTTCATAGAATACCAACAGTCCAAACATGAAAATGAAATTTGTCATGCAATATTATTCTAGTTTGACTAGTTTCCCCAATTGGTAGCCAGATTTTAAGGAGGTAAAGGATAGCAGTTTGAATTTTCCTTGTTTTTGCTAGGCTTATTTAATTATGAATATTTGCCATTGTTGTAATTGATACTGAGATTAAATGAGTTAATATTCATTAATTTATTCATTCAATGGATTGTTGGTTCTGGGATTACTTTCTGGGTACCGACCTGGGTGAAACACTATACTAGGAACTGGGAATGGTGTGGTGACCAAAGTAAACAAACATATTTCCCCATTGCTCTGGAGGTACTATATAAATAAACTGACTATAATCAACTCTCTAAGAAGTATCTGCTTCAATTAAAACATGTAAATGGCTTTTACTTGTGATCAACGATATCTTTTTATTGAGTAAAGGGCTATACAATGTTGTTCACCAGAAGAAAATCCTAAATCCTTAAATTAAAGAATATTTAATAGTTTCTCAACACATTATAGACAACACAGTCTTTAATGTGACATAGTACATTAAGAAAGTGATAATATGGTAGAGAGATGTGAGATGATGACCTGACCTGTGTGTGTTAGCTGTTCCTGGATCCTTCTGACTGATTTAGGGCTAATAATCAGAAGACTGATGTGTGTTTACAATATTAACCCCTGTGAAGCATGCCAAAGTAATGTGGCTCATTGGTTTATAAACTATCATTTACTTGCTCATAACTGTAATTGAATTATGGTCCTGTCAATTCAAGGTGTCAAGGGATGGGACTGTATCTCCTATATTTGAACTTCACCAACTAGATAAAGGACAGACTGAAAAAGAAGGCCCCAGCTCTAGAATTATAACCACTTAAAATGCTGTTTCTAGAGCCTTGTAGAAATGCTAATGACATTAATACTCAGTAATTGATGGATAACAAATATAAAAAAGACTACTGAGTTTGTAGCACAGTTAGTATTTATTGCACAATCCCAGCTTGTAACATGTTATGATATAGGGCATTTGTATGCATTGCCTCATTCAGTCTTTATTATCTCAATAAGCATTATTGACCACTATTTTAAAAAAGAGGTATAGCAACTAACTGCTCAGAAACATAAAACTGGTATTCTTATACAAGTACTCAAGTCTAGAACTTCATTCTTCATGATTGTGGGCTATCAACATGGAGATTGAAGTTATGAATGGAAGACTAGAACATAGGAGGGAAAAGACCCCTTGGATTGAATTATCCTAACTTTTTGGGTTAGGGTAGAGGTATGGGTGATAAGGTTGAGATTCATTCCCAATACCTACTTGTGGTCTTAGCTATCTATTCTATCTTCATATTTTAGAAAATGTGAGTTCCAAGAAGACCATTAAATAGATGCATAGATGCCTCAAGGGATGGTACATAGTACAAGTGAAAGGAGGGAAATCATCCTAAGGTTTTAGATATTCAGATATAAGTGATTTGAGAATCAGAATACTGACTGGCCTTTGTCCCACAGCTGTTTGCTGATTAATCCTCAGAATAAGGTGAAATATTTAAATCAACCATTGTTATCTTCAGGCCATGAAGAATGAATTGTATGTTCCAAATGGCAGTAAATTAACCATGACCACCACAACAAATTGATTAAAAACCTTCCATGGATATGAGGATGATATCTCATAAGTGGATTATGAGTACAGTGGTAAATATTTCAAGAAAAACTCCAAAATCCAAATGAGTCAGCCAACAGGTTATTTCAAGAGTTTATGTCAATAAATGTCTCTTTTGTTTATTCAACTCTCCCAATCCATCAACTGCTTGCATGAGGTGTCTGTATCCAAAGGAGAGCAAAATGGAAAGAAACTGGGTTTTATAGACTGGCATTATGTTGATTGTACAAGGATACCTTACAAAAATCTGCTCCATGAAGGGGTAGACAACTATAAAATGAATCTGGATGTGAAAGAATTAGAGGTGGCCAACTTTTATAAGTTTGACCCTTAGCAAAATCCTCAAAGTGATGCAGTTAATTTCATTAATATTAGGGCCAATACATAGGAGGGAAAGTAAACCGTGGAAACACTCAGAATTTTTATGTATTAGATTTTTTGGTGGTTTTACTAACTATTCTTAGAAGAACAGCTGTCCCGAGATCTGATCTGTGCACTTAAAATCCTTTTTACTCAATGGTATGTCACAATAAACCAGGGACAAGACAGTGTAATGTGGCAATATGACATGTCCACTAGGCAAGCAGGGGACAGTAGTAGTGTAAATGACATCATTAAACTCAGCAGCCAGTATCTTAGAGAAGAAATACTTTGAATAATATGAATGGAAGTCTAGAAAACTTCTGCTATTCTATATACTACAAAAGTAAGTGTTTGGATAGTGGATAGATGAGAGTTGAAAGTCACCCCTGTGCGGTGATGGTAACGATATTTTCTACAGGCTCTTTTGCTAAGGATAGTGTTAGAGTGCCCTCTTAGGAGCTGTGCATATTTGGCAACTGAAGTGTTATTTTGCTGGCAGATACTTTTCCAATTAGTGAGGATTTATTTTTATTTAATTAGTTCAATAGCGACGCTGCTTATTAGACAAAAGAAGAGGTTTTAGAGAGACATGATATACGATTGAGAAAGTTTAGAAATGGGAAACATTCTCTCTTCCAGATAGCAACTACATATGGTACATATGGTTACTGATGCCTAAGAAAGTGATAAATAAAAACTCTGCATCTTAAAACAAAACAAAACAAACAAAAACAAAAAAACAAAAACAACAACAGTAACATTAATAAACAAACAACAAAAAAAACACCAAAACAATAACAAAAATTTAGAATTGAGACTTTAGGACTCTGAGTAAATCCTCAGTTTCAAGCTTGAGATATCTTCACCCAAGCCTAGTTTTTTCTTTTTTCTTTTCTTTTCTTTCTTTCTTTCTTTTTTTTTTTTGTTTTGTTTTGTTTTTCGTTTTTGTTTTTGTGTTTTTCTCTTTTCTACTGCATGGCCTGCAGGGGAATGAAGATGACCTAAAGATGTTTTCAAACAGACACACCTATTTCAGATGCATATGAGGAATCATTTATATGTCTAAATGAAGAGTTAGGAAGTACACAAGACTATCTAGATTTATTTCGTAGGACATGCAAAGATTGTAGCGTGTTCAGCAGCACTATTTTATAAGTCCTTTACATATTTTAGTTTTTAGTTACTACATCGTGGGTGGGGTCTGTGATCAGTGATTGTAAAAGTAGTTGTTACTAATTATATATGGATTTTCCCCAGAATGACATTAGAAAATGAGGCTATTTATCTTTGAATACAATAAGTGTGTGGGATTTTGCCTGCCCCCACCACCTCTATGTGAGAGCACAGCAGCTCAGCTTTAATTTTCTTTCCTCTCAAAATGCCCAGAGGGACCATATTTTTGTTTAATGACCTTCAGAATGATTCCTTAGAAATCTGAGGCTATCAGTGTTGGAAGCAATGCGAACATAATTGTGGATTATTGTTGTATGACGTTAGTGGCAGCTGGGCTGGTTTTTTTTCCTCTCTGTTTAGACTTTTCTTCATTTTCCCAGAAACCTTATATCCCAAGGTTTAGCTCAGAAGCAAATCTCATATAGGTGATAAACCTTGCCAGACATGGTATGTAATATAATTTCAGACAGACTCTTAACTGTTCTTCAGAAAGACCCCAGGGAGTAAAGCTGTCTTATATCTAGATGTCTTCCATTGTATTACTTTTATTTACTCTCTGAAAATGTGTTTGGATATCTTTACTGGACATATCTCTTGAATATTATACCTATGAACTTGAGTGCCAATTTTTGTGCTTTGTTGCCAAATTTCCTGGTAACAGGAAGAAAAGTTATAGTGAAAAACTAATAAATGGGTACTTGTTCTCACAAATAATTTATAAACATTTACAGGCACTCACAGCTGGGGACTGAGAGTCAACATTTTTGAGTGCCTGGTATATGCATATGGAATGTGGGCAGGAGTAGATGCAGATGGCACATACACCACAGTGGGTATGAAAAAGTGTTATCAACTATTGTCCACATAATTGGCTTTGTAAAAAATTTTATTATTGTCTCAAGTGACAGACTAGGAATATAGAGGATAAAATAATTTTCTCTGAACTGTTCAGTAATCCCTTATTGCTGCTTGCTATGCTTCCACTGATATTTGTCTGGCTAACAATTTGGCTAACAATGTCTGGCTAATAATTTGGTTGTAAATTCCTCACTGGCAGTAGAGAGACTTAGGACAATATACAAAGATTGAGAAAATTCTCAAACCAAACCTTCTTGCCTGAATAGTCTTACCTACATGATTGCCACATACTTGTCCCTCACAGGCAAAGAATTGTATATTCATTTCTTGGGAAGTCCAAAGTAGAAGCAAGATTCCCCCACTTTCCCATCAGAAGGGAATGAGACTTTGTTTCAAAGAAAATTTTCTTTTCTCATTATGTACTCACATAGTATAGTTGATTTCTCTATATTGTTACTTTTACAAAGTGCATCTTCATTTCATTTTCCCTGTTTTAAGGAAATATTGAACTATAGTTTTCTAGATTACCTCCTTGCATTTCCACAAGGAAAGAGATTTTGAGATATAAATATTAAGATGTTTGTTTATTTGTTTTTTTACAACAGAAAATATTTAATGAAATACTTATAAACTTCACTACTAATGTAAAAGCTTATTAAAAGTGTTCAGTGATGCATCAGATTCCCATCAAGTAGGATCCATGGCCAAATGAAACATAATCCCTCAAGAATCTTAGGAAAGACCCATATCAGAAAACAAAAAAACACACGAAAAACAAGCAGGTCATCAATATACTATTTAGAAACTCTTAATATTACTCTATAAGACTCTTGCATTTGGGGAGGTTGTATGATTTTTGCTTTTAGAGTCTTATTTTTAAAATGATCTTTGATGTTGACATTGTACTGGACACTATAATACACATTTATGATACTGCTTGGATATTGTTTAAATGTGTTAGTTACACATATGGAAGATTATGTGGAAGAATGTAACAATGCAATTTTACCTTGCTAACTCTAAGACTTAGTGTGACTATTCATTTTTCCCTTTCTTACAAATATTTTCCCTGCAGGAATGCAAGCCAAAAATGTGGAGAAGCATCATAATACAGAAGGGAAATGCTCTTCTCATTCAGGAAGTTCAAGAAGAAGATGGTGGAAATTACACATGTGAACTTAAATATGAAGGAAAACTTGTAAGACGAACAACAGAACTGAAAGTTACAGGTAGGAGCTGGTTCTACCAAAACGTGACAAATGCAATTTTAAGTGCAATTTGGTTTGATGGGGAAGAGTTGTGAATTTATAATTGGCAGCAAATCAAGCTTTTGGAAAAAATCACTATTAATAAGTTTTCCTGAACTAAAGATATATGTGGAACATTTGTGATTAGAGGTCAAGGGCTCATTGACTGCCTATGTGTTCTCTGCTTTTATGAAACATTTTTTAATTCTTCAACCTGCCACTGATTCTTAGTGTATAACTTTGAAGAAATATTGTGGAACCATTCTGAAATATTGCCTTAATTCATGTGTAGAATCCCCTTGTAGGTGAAAACTTCCTTTAAATTGAGCTTATGTTGGAACTTTGGGATGAAATCTGTTGAATTGCATTTACACAAACCTCTTTCTAAGTTAGGATTCTTAGAGGAACTCCAAGTAAAAGTGAGAACAAAGAAAAAGGAACCCACAGGAGTAAAGAGACAAACTCAGAACATACTTACCTAGTAGATATTCTAGTAATTAATTTTCAGCAAAATAGTATATAATCTAAAACTTTGATAATATTTCTCACAACAGATGTGGTGTACTCCAAAAGAAGGTGTGGCCAAAACTCACTTTTCTTTATGCATCTGAAACTATTGGTTAATTTACCTATTAACCAGTTGGATGTTCTGTACCTAAAATTATTAGGCACAAAAATGACTCATTTCAGTTATTTTTTAAATTCTGGAAAATGGATTATAAAAATGAAACACCTTGGAGATGAGACCCAGGTATAAATATAAAATGTATTTATATTATATAAATTTATTTATGTTATATAAATATTATTGCTTAATTTAAATAAATATACTTATGTTATAGAAATATAAATGCAGATAACCTATCAGTAATTTTAGGTAGTATTTTCTTACTATCCATTACATGATGTCAGGTGTGGACATTTTTTGGCATCATCTCAGCCCCAGTAAGCTTTGGATTTTATAGCATTGAGGACTTGACATTTGGAATTTGTATTAATTGACTTAAGAGTAATGTACTTCCTCATTATCTATTTAGGTACCTAAGGTTGGTATCATACAGTAAACTAATTATGACATATCCTTGCTAATGTTATGTTATTTTATCTCTGCCTGATCTTTCATGGATAGTACTAAAATCAGATGACTTAATATTCTCTGTATTCAGAGGTATAATACATATGTGTAGATAAATGTTTGATTCTCAAGTTTCAGTTCACTAGTTCACATTCTGTCTTAATTAATGACTGTTTTATTTCCTATATTCAATTTGCAGAACACCTTTTGTGAAAGATCAAGTTATTGTTTATATTCTAAATGCATGTTCTTTCTCTGTTAGAATAATCCAACGATCTGCTTTTGATTAGTTTCTGAGTTCTTCAATATGAAGTAAACTTCCATGACACATTCATGGCAGAAGATTCAACTGCAGACATATCATTAATAGGTGACCTGACCATGCACAAGGCATGGTCACTTTGACCATAACCACTGATTCTTATCAAATTCATACTAACTCTTGCATTTGGTAATCATTTATTAAACTTTATGACATTATAGTATTTGGCTTGGTTCTAAGCTCAACTATAATAAACCAAAAACCAAGCTTCCTTTAGAGCCTCATCTAATGGATTTTGGTGAGAACAATTTGTGCCTTTAGTTTTAGTCCAGATCCTGGAAAAACACAGCTAGGGTTGCTTATCTTGTGCATTTATATCACTTTAGTTAACAAGTGCTAAAGTTTTGAATAATTAAATCATGGATTTCATTGGTTACCATGCAGAGGTTCTCAAAAGTTAATATGTATCAGAGTTACGAGGAAGGATCCAAGAAGGGTAAATATGAGAATCTTTAATTCCAGATTCACAGATTCTTCCACAAGATTTTAATTTAGTGCATCAGTAACAGAACCTTTTTGTTGATGCAATTTAGTTTTATACTTTTCAAGGAGCAAGAATGATTTGAAATAAACACTCAAAGAGAGAATGATAGTATAGAAAGAAAGGTCAAAGTAGATTTGATTTCGTTGGGAACATGTTACAGTTCACATACATAGTACAAATACATTCTCACAGATTCCAAATCATTTCCTTTTAACACACACATATATATGATTTTTTCTTATTTTACATATCAATTCGTTATCTTTCCCTCCCTTCCATGCCCCCAACCCCCCTCCCATCCCATTCTCTCCCCTACACACAAGGATGACTTGACAGATTTTGATGATCCCTCCTGGAAGGCATCATCCTTTTAACTCTTAAGAGTGGTCATGACAACTCAAGTGGTTGATTACTAGAGGAAACATGTCAAGGGAGTATGTGGACAAAGCAACCTCAATCAGTGAAAGCAGTTATTTATTAACTTATAATTTATTAATATGTGCAACTGATCAAAAAGTGAGCCAAGAGACAGAAAAATCATTAAGAAATTCTTTCACTGTTATTTCCAGGTCAGTCAGTGATAATCAGTCATATGAGATGATAAGAATATTCATATTTACTTAGAGTTTAAATGTTATTTTGATGTAAAAAAATGGCTTCTAGCTATAGAAGCTTGAGTTACTATATGAAAGCTGATTCTTATTTGTAGTATTATATGCTTTGTACAATCAGCATTATGAGAGACAATACAATGATTTTATTCTCACCATTCAAAATCCAAGGCTTCCATCACATTAAATACTACTCATATTTTTTTCAAATCTGGTACCAAAAGGACATGAAAAAGAATTTTTAATATGAAAACAATAGTATTTGTTAATTATAAAATCATGTACATTACAGTAAGATGGTGTGTTGCAAGTGTACATGTTTTATAAGATTATCAATTTTAGAAGACTGTTTCCCAACTTTTCTTTTAAAATTTATGAATCTAAGAAACATGTCTTCAATAAAACAAATATTAAGTCCTGGTTAATTTAAATAGATCAAGTTAAAAAAAGTTCAAATATTAAAAATTGATAAGTTAGAAAGTTAACCTTTGATAATGAAATGATTTCCTACATGAAACGTTTTTTATATTTCCTCAAATAGCTTTCTTATGTTATCAAAATGGAACTTGTGTTAAATTCATCTCCTGCAACACATTTTTATATGAATCATACATGCTTATATAAACTTATTATAAATTTATTTTTATTTTCTTTGAAGGTGCATATGAATAAGTAATAAGACAGAACAAAAAGCATACACAAATTCACAATTGCAAGTTTATAGTTTTATTTCCAACAGCATATTTTAGGTAGTTGTTTTCCCCTTTATCTCACATTGAATTTGTGTAGATGACTAGTTGAAGTAATCAGATGAGACAGGAGATTTGGTTCTTAGAAGATGAAAATGCAGATCAGATTATAATGGAAGTGGTAGAGAATGGATAAGAGAAGATGAGCAAAATAATGGGATAAGGTCCCTGGGGGTGAGAAGAGGTCTGCCTTAAGTAGGTTTAAGAGAATCACAGATTACTGGAATTTCTAAAATTGAACAATAGGGGAAATTGTACATGAATTGACTTTCTCAGGTGTTGAATCATTCACAAACAATGATTTTGTGAAGTCTTTTAGAAATGAGCATTCGGTATTTAGGAAAAAACCCTACTAACTTGTTCTCTGGTGAGTGTGCAAATAATAAATACAAGGATAACTAGTTGTGTGGCTAAATTAAAGCAATAATTAACCCCCCGATCCAAATAAGTCATATATATGAGTGACAGAGATCATGTCCCTGGCAATAGAGAGTAGCAAATTATAACATCCTGATGTTGCTCACTGCTGTCTAATGAGAGTAGAATTCACTATTGCTGAGTTCTCTGAAGTCTGTATTTTTATGTATAAATTCCTGCATTGCAATGCACTCTATAGAGCACATAAACCATGGCTTTGGGCTAAATTGATTAGTAATTGTTCATTTGTGTTCTTGCCTTAAGTAATTTTGTCCAGTAGGATTTTTAGAAATGGTCTTACTTATGTACCCCCAGCTGGCATGAAATTTGCTATGTAGATTATGCTGACTATAATCTCATAGAGATCCACCTATCTTTCCCTCCAGAATGCTAAGATCAAAGAAGTGTTCTACCATATCTGGTATGTTCAGTATGATTTTTAAGCAAGCCACTATCTGGCTTGTTCAGAATTTATTTCCATCACTAAGCAATGAATAAGGGGATGTTTTTAAGTCCTAGAGATTGTTGGAGAGAATGCAATAGACAAGCCAAGAATAGTGCTCAGAAATTACCCCAGTCATGACATCCAGAAGATTGGTTGAGCCAAATGGGCACATTTTACACATGTCATACAACAGCAGGAATATTGAGAAATTGATCACCTTAGTAATAAGAGCATTTTAGACGGTAAAATATGTTGGCCCCAAGTGTTACAGATGAATGAAAAGCCCCAGGGATAAAATATCTACCTTAGATGTACCCTGTAGCAGTGTGATGAGAAGCACTAATGGAAATAAATCATTTACATTTGTTCTCTCTTTGTCATATTCTCTCTGAGCAGCCAGTTGACATGATCTGAATGTGTGTGTCTTGATTATCACACCAAACATTGATCTCATTTGTACCTTTTGGTGACTTAATTAGGAAAGACTTAAGCAATTAATAGTTCTTGGCTGCATTAAAGGTCCTTTCAGACGACTGACTGTGCATTTCATAACTGATTGTTCTTTTGTGCAGTTGCAGGCGCAGAAATTTTAGGACCCCAATTGTCTTGCACTGGCTCCACTGACTTTCCTCTTAACTGTGCTCTCCCTTTCTGAGTTATGCTAGCCATCTATTGCCCACAGCACAGCGTGGATAGTGTTGCACCAACTATCATGTCTTTAAAAGGGTCTGGTCTTCTGTCTCATTCCCAGCCCATCTCCTCAGATCCTTGTTTGTGCTTCCCCTACTCTAGTACCTCAGTGAATTTAGTAGTTTGTGCCTGAAAAGAGCCAAAACTGCTTTCCTTCTCAACCTGGCATTTTTGCAGGTCAATAGATAT